TTGTGTTAAAATAACATATAATTCAAGTGCAAATTATTGCGAAAAAAACTGTTCATTTCAAATATCGCAGGTACAGTCATACTTTTACTTATCTTCCTATCATAATGTTTACATTTTCGAAGTTTTGTTATCTTATTAGATTTATATATCCTAGTATTTATCAATTACGGACAAAACAAAGTTTCTTGTAGATACTTATTTTTTTTGTAAAGCTACTAATTATTAATTAATAATATAGAACTCTGATCGTATACCTTCTTATTAGTTCAGACATTGGAACATTTACTTTGCATCTTTTGTTTCTTGTTACATGTCCAGTAGCAATGGCATATAAAGTATGCAGCAAATCTGTCGAATCATCTTTTATTTGCGTGTTCTAGGACGCGTACTATTCTTATGATAATATAATTTTCTCAGCGTCTAATAAAAGTCAAATTTCGTCTGATTTGAAATAAAGTCATCAATTAAACGCCGGATGATAAAATAGTACAGTTCTTTCATTCTATATATGAGAGAATATTTAATTACAGATGTAATCAGTTCACGAGATAAACGTCTCGTATAGTCTTTTTTAGCGTCGCGTGACGATAATTGAGGCAAGTAGATAGGAAGAACAATCGCACTCTCTACTAGAAGTCCGAGATGTGAGGAAATTAATAGGGTATTAACAGAACTCTGCATAAAAATAGCGTAGACAAGAGTTGCACATCCCGCGAAATTATTTAATTATTCATTTAATTTGATATTGCATTTATACAGATGACATGAAAAAACAACACTACGCTTGTAGAAATGAAGTAAGAGTATAGGAGGAAGGAGAATCTGAAAATTTCATTTGTATGCTACGAGAAATCGGAAACAGAGCAGTAATTATATCTAGCAGTAGGTATCGTATCTTGCAAGAGACGGCATTGCATTATGTTAGATAAGGATAGGTGTACGTGTTTGAGTGAGATAGAACGATAATGTAAGAAACTGAATTTGGAGTTAAAAAGTATATTATTATCAATTAAGTTCAATCGTCGCTTCAGCATCCCCTTAAGGACGCGTTCAAAAACATTATCCGAGTACCTCCGAGTGTCATTTTATCCTTATTTAATTTTCGATGAATAACAAGGATAAAATTCGGAGACACTGATAATATTTTTGAACGCAGCGTAAATCAGTTCAGTGACCGTAACAACTAATCGATTAATAACATTGATTGAAGATACGATATGTAGTAAGAAGATATGATAAAAAAGTAATTGAAGATATAATATAATGGATTAAAGTTAGATTTGATATTATTGTAAAAGAGAGAGAATATATAATGTATATGGCAAAAAATTCATCGAATAACTAATAAATCTAGTTAGCAGAGTCTTGTTTACTTTCGGAGATATGAATCTGATAGAACCAAGAATTTAGATCGATTTTTTTAATATTGACGACCTTTTTAAAGGTATTGAAGTAAAACTCGTGTTAAACAATCAGAAAATTAGTAGAGAAGCTAAAAGCATAAAAATATCTTACACACAAATAAAAAAAAGAATAGAAATTGATCCAATCGAACGAAAAAGCTATAAATATATTCAGAATACAAATTACAATTAAATATACTGATATTTCTTGTATATACTATGCGGAAATGGTATGTCCTAGCGTAATAAATCGTATCTAGATATTCTAGTTTATGGGCTCCTTCGGTTTATTGGCTTCTGCGAACTACTCGTTAATGACGGTCACATCATTAACTAGGCTTAATTGCAAGAGCCCGCAGTGTCGGCATTCGACGAATCCTGATGCATTATCGATTTTTCAAAACGATTTGTCTCATCTTCTCCATTTTATGCTGTATATATCGGCATCTTCGATATTTTTTTTTTACTTCGTGCTTTCACTAGTGTGAACTTCCGACACCGGAAGGATTTCAAACGGAATACACGCTCGAATACAAATCGAAAAGGAAGTCGTTCTTTACTTCGACTTTCTCGCTGTCGAAGCGGAGGGAAGTAAGAGGAATTCCAATCGTGCGACTGTTTCGATCGATAAAACCCGCGCGGACGACGGTTTTATTAGAGTAAAAGTCTTTAACTCCCAAGTGTCAGGAAAGAGCGTCACGCGCCCCGCGTGTCAGCGTTCATTAGTATTCTCGACGAGGCGCCTCGTGTACCCCACCTTACTTCACGACACCCATGGAAACACAGGAGAATCTGCTAAATCGTCTCTCTCCGAGCCCTTGGCGAGGCGTGACAAGACACGTGCTATGCAGATGTCGCATCCAGGAACCACCCCCTTGGCGAGACGCTACTCGTGATTTAGGCTAATTATGCGCGACCGATGGCCAAGTAGGTTTCTCCTACCGGCTCACGTATCTCCGTACGCTCTATCGGGATACGCGATGTCTGGCGATGTCTCGACATTATCGTATAATCGCAGACATGTTTTAGTCCATAGAAATCTTCAAGTAAAGCCCGTTACCGCAGTATATGGTTTACCTAAAGATTAACCTAAGAAAATTCATGAATCATAATGTATGATTACCTAAAGAAATTTATGATTGAATTTTATTAACGACCTTTAATCTTTAGGTAACCGTATATTGTGAAAATAGACGTAAGAGATTAGACACCACCCATTTGATTCGTCATATCTTTCAGGACCTGCTTGAGATAGAATGAGGTAAATATCCATGTATTTTATTTGGCCGAATAAAGTTTCCACTTATTCGCTTATTTGTGTTGAATATTTTGATTTTTATAATAAATACTCCAATCACAACTTTGACAAAGGGATTGACGGATACTCTGTATATTATATATTGTACATTGTGTCTGTATATATTATGGCTGCTTATCGTGCGAAATACATGTGTACACGGATACGCATCGAACGGATAGACGTGATAATTCCCTCATGTGTAAATGTAGCTGTACATAGCATCTACAATATGTGTGCATGTATATGCGTACATGTATGTACATATATACATAGTACGTACAGCGAAATTACGCCGGTTGTACTAAATACCAATCCTTGACTGCGTGTATAATTATCCTGGCGTATCGATAAATGGTCTTGTGTGCGGCTCTTTACACGCGTCTACACGCTGCTCGTATACTTATACATACGTATGTACGTCATATGTCTCGACAATTTTCGTAGACCGAGCAGTTATCAGCGCAGAAGGCGACTCCACATCTATGCATTTGCATAAGTGTCTGTCATCGTCTGCATTCTACAGGTATATTTAAGTATTGCGGTTGTACACAGCGCGTACCATCTTGTACACGCTTTACCTGCGTTTAGAAGAATGCGTTTTCTTTTTCACGAGCTTCATGGGAAAAAATTGGATAGTCGATCGACGCTGGAACGTGCAATTTTGATAAAAATGCGCGGTATCGAGCTGTGTACACGACGCGATACTCAATTTGGCGATGTTTAAAGTCTCACAGGGTTCAGATACGTGTACGCATACATGCGTATCGGAGATACAAAGTCGCAACTAGATTACGAGGGTTTGATAACCTGCAGGATCGAAGGGTCGCCCGTGGGATATAGTAGTGGCTTATCCTTCGACCGTTTCTCCCTTCGCTTCTTCTCTTTCGTCATACGGTATGAAATATAGAGAAACGATGACTATTTCGTCGCCAGTGATACATCCCCGACGACAACGGGACGATAGTCACCGTTTGTTGTTGTCAGCTACCTTTTCTACAGAAATTTCTTCCCACTCGGCGATAATATCCTGTCGCCGTCGAAAGGCATCATTTCCGTCACTGCGAGTTCCTACGTAACAACGGAAATAACCTGAGTCTAAATCCAGAGTCTTTAATCGTTAACTTAATTCTTTATTAATCATTGTGGAATCTTGCACCTTGCGTCAGCAAACCTGGGTCTTCGAGCTTTGGTGTAGATTTATATTCTGTATGAAAATTTGAAAAACTTGTTATTGCTTCAATAACGAGCTTTCTACTATCATAGAGGTTGAATTGTACAATATTTCGCTTACTTTTTGGAGATGTAAATCTATCTATCAAAATTCACACAATCAAAGTATTAACTCTCCACCAATGTTACTCTCCGTCTACAATCTGGATCTTCGAACTTCAATGCAAATTTTTATATTGTTCCAGATTTTATAAAAATCTGAAAAAATCCTTACTGGTAAAAAGTTTAACGAATTTTTACTATCAAGATTCAAGAAGTTAGATTCTATTTTTTACAGATTTCTATATCATAAATTTACAGAATTCAAAATATCGACTGTACCTTTAAAGTTCAACATGGTTAGTGGAGGGTTAAGTTTTGCTCCTAGATTTGTGTGTGTGTGATCTTAAGTTCAAAATATATCATTAAAAGTTTGGAAAGCCACGCGTGGCGAGAAAATAGGCGGTGCAATAAAAAGAAAATAAGATAAAGAAATGTTGATAGCGAGATGATTACTGGGCGCCTGCGAGTGTGTAATTCCGTAGCGTTTTATAGCCTTCATAACATTTTTACCGCGTCCTGCGTGCGCGCAATTAGCGAGTTAGCCACTGTGTAATCACGTGTGTCGTTAAAGTGCTTAAAGAAGCGGAGACCAACTTCAGCATTAGCCGTGTCCCGTTCGACAGACGAATCCCGTGTTTAAAACCGATTTAAACGGGCAACTTGTTATTACACCACCGAAGTGTACCGCAACATTGCACATCGTAAAAAAGGATCACGCGCGAAAAACTCACCGTGCTAAAAGCCAATTTCACTGTTATGTTTACTTGGCACTAGACGCTTATATTTCTCTCAGTTCTCTACGAATTTCTTTTCTGAATCAACAGTTCAACTGTTCTATGAAAAGCTCGTGATGCGAAAATAAGTAATAATCCCATAACAAAATTTTCTTCGGTAATTCGTGTAATTGATTCTTCAAGACGGTGGCCAATTTCTTATTTGAGGATCACTAACGCGAGCTTGATTCCCATGATCTCTGCGAGATAGACGAACTACAATGCGAAATATGGTTTTGTTTTGTTTTGCAGGTGTCGGCGGGCCAACATTTACAGGTCACGAGCGAGCTGAAACCGGTCGTATCTGTCGCGGCGCAGCAGGGCATGTACTTCAATCAGCAGCAGCCGCAGAATCAGGCCGGGCCATCGGCTAATCAGGCCGACGCCTACTGCTCGGTCTCGCAGTCCCAAACCATCAATTTCACTCAGCAGAGTCTAAGGCAGCGGGCCACGGCCGCGGCCACCGGCGGAATGCCGCAGCCGGGTGCTGCCGGCCCAGGAACACGAGGTCATCCGCAGCAGGTGCCGCCGGGCCAGGTCGATCAACATCAGCACGCGAAGCTTCTTCAACAGCAGCAGCAATTGATGCGCGCGCAACAGGTAAGCAACCTGATTGTCTTCACTCCGATAAATTTTCGTACACGCGTATCTTGAGATACACGGAGCTCTCGTTTTTCTATACAGCACAAACTGTTCTAGCAATATTGCAACAACATTGCAATGCTACAGCAATATTGTAATAACATTGCTGCAAGCTTTTGCGCTGTATACGGTGCGTGTCGATGGTGACACGTGCGACGGTAACACGTGTCGCTGTTCGAGCAATTTCGCAATCGATGCAAATGACCTCCATCCGAATTTTTATATGCATCGTAGATACGAAATTATTTTCATGATAAGTACGTAAATTACTCGTTCAGTTCTCATTCGTATCGAATTGCTCTGCATTATAATAGCGATCACACGTGCAACGTTTATCTTTATGCGATTATTATCGTCTTCCATGCGCTTTCTCACCTTTATCCGATATCATTCGCGCTCGAGAATCGCGATTCTGAGCCGTTACACCGATAACCGATATGATCCTCCGGAGCGAAAGCTTTCGCTGTGACGATCGTCTATGCAGGTAAGATAATCGCGAGATCGCGGCGCGATGGCACATTATCCGAGACATTAAGCTCGTATCCGGCGAGAGAGGAAGAGAAGGAGAAAGAGGGAGATATGAGAAAGCCCGCGACGTCCGTATGCAACAGGTACCGCTACTAGGTCTTTTGCAACTTCTGCCTCGTCGTGTTGAAAGAAACGACACAAATAGGACAAATAGCGCGAGCGCGAGCGCGACGGAGGACACGGAGGCTTTCTCCGAGACGGGAACAATGGACGAAAAAGTTTTTGCGCCGCGCCACGGAGTTTCCTGTGGAAGAACCCGTGATATCGAGGGAAGCGGGATCGGTAAATTAGTGTTCTCGGCGATTACTTCACGCGAGATTAAGCGTCGTCGATACGTACGCTTTTGTTCGCGATGGTTCTTCGCCTCGTCGGTCTTAAAGGCGACAAACTCTTGACGACGTTAAACGTATAATTTAGCACGCTTATTCCGCACGCAAAGAATATCGCAGCAAGCGACAATGTAATTTGTCGGTCTCTTCACACTCGGAGAAAAACATAGCGGTAGTGTATAGGTGACAACTATACAAGTTTTATGTTATGTGTAGAATTAATGTACGTAGCCGAATAAACTGTTTTATAATCGCATATATAATAATTATAATATGAAATAGTTTATTCAACGGTGTATATTAATTCAACATATAAAATTGTATATGTTGTCACTTATCTGTATTTTGACACTACTATATCTTTTTCTCTAATTGCACGCATACATTCTTTTCGATTTTTTCTTCTTCTAGTTAAACATTTTCTAACGAGAAGGAAATTGGGGATTATCTTTCCTTAAAGAGAATTTGATAGAAGACCTTTTTTTAACGACTCTTTAATACTCCACTCGTGAAAACTTTCAATTGAACTCTTCGATCAAAGTACATCCAGGATTTGATATAATAGGGAAGTTATTCTTAAACTTTTTAATTGATTTAAATTAGATGAAGTAATTTTTTGTTCCGCTCGTATTGCGCGATCTAATTCATCTTTGTTGCAAAAATTACGATGATCGCGTGAAACGGTCATTGTACGATTAGACATGCGTCGCCGAGAAGTCAATTTAGCAATTATCAGTGTTAGCTGTTATCTGTATAAAATTATCTAGATAATTTTCTTAGATGAAGAAATGGCTTTATTTTATCATTATTGATGTAATTAATAAGATATTATTTAGATTATTAGGATATATATTATGTCCTTTTTAGATAAAAGAAGTGTTATCTTTTTCAAATTATCTTAATGTATAGCGAGTTTAGTATGCACTCCCCAGTATAGGATTTTTAAACATCTCCTTTTTTATGAACCGAATATTTATGTTCAATGTTGTTAGATCAATATTGTTCCAAATTTATAATTCTGAACATTGACTTGATGTGTATCAACGTTATCGTCTATTAAAAAAAATCTTTCAATATTGAAGTATTTTTATGTTTAAAATCTAAATCTAAAGAATTAGCTAAATTTTTACTTTTATCCATATATCAACATTTTTTTTATTTTTATCACCTAAAGTTATTTAAAATTGATATACTTTTTTTGTGAAATTTGTATCTCAAACAAATTATATAATTTTGTTTCTTCAAAACAATTTATGACATTAATATGTTATTAGAAAGCTGAATTTTTAATCTTTAAAGTCTTATACTTTTTTATATTTATAATAGTTTATTTATATATATTCGTAATATTTAGTTGTCAGACACGTTCACGTTTGGGAAATAATAAGACGAAGATAAAAGTTTTAAAATTATGTTTTGAGGTCAGGTCAGTGTTTTTTTTGCTTTACATAATAAGCTTTACAGAATTATTCTCTCAAAATGAGTTTTTTTTTATGACATACTAATGAACAAAATTTAACACAAAATCAGAAAATATTAATAATCTTTTAATATAAAAACTGTAATGTGCTACATTACATGATGGAGATAATACGATGCATTAAACTTTTTCTAAAATGAAATAATTTCACGTATTATGCAATGAAAATATTATTAAATCTATCATACAGTGATAGACGAGATATTCAGCTTTAATTTTATCCTTTCTCTTATTGCGTTTAAAATATTTTTTGTAAATATTCTACTTTTTCTTAGATACGCTGCATTCCCTCCATTCTCCCCTTTCATACAAAAATCGTTTATCAAATATATAATAATATTTGAGAAATTCTAATTTAAAGAAGTATAAAGATTTATACGATAAATGAAAATATGGATATATTGTTTCTATATTCTAAATTGTGTTTTGCTAAAAAAAGTGATTATTTTAAAATTATCTAAATGAAACGTTTGATAATTTATCTTATCTTTATCTACATAATTTTTTTTTAATCTGTTATCTAAGCGCAACACTGGCAATTGCAAAATTGCGTATACGGAGCTACTCGTCGAGATCTCGTAGAGTTTGCGTGGTCGTCGCATCGGCGAATGACTCAGTCCGCAATGGCCCGATTGTTATCTCGATAATACTAAGGTACCAAAGACGACGATGCTCGTGCTCCAGTTACTAATTGTACGTTTCATGCAATTGGTTAGTCATCCTGTTCAGTCGGGGATAAGCTTGAGGCGATAAAGCGGTGCATCATCCAGAACGACGTGCAGCCAGCCCGATGATTTTATCTCGGGTGAGGAGTGCTCGGCCAATATTAGTATGCGCGAATCGATTGCTTTCTTTCAAAACACATTTTTGCATATGTACGCATGTAATTGATTAATAATAGACAGAACGATCTCAATGAATTGAAGAAGCATAATTCTTGCGGTTGATTCTTGAATCGTTTCACCTTGAACCATAATTCTTATCATTATACTTCTGCATATCGCTCATTTGCTACAGCATAATTCAAAAAAAAATTTTCCAGAAAATGAATTTCAATGTTTTGAATTATTAAAATTTGTTATATTAATTTTGAAATATAATTTTGGTATAATATATATATATATATATATAACTGATTGTAAAGAAATATAAAAATATTCTATTAAAGTACATTTTTTTTCTTCTTTTTTTTATGTTTTTATTCTTTTTCTACAAGCAACTAAAAATGATATTTTTTGAATTATGTTGTTAATTGCATTTGCGAATCTATTCTCTTTCCGCACTTACATGCAACATGTAGCGATCTCGCGATCTAGATTAGCGCTTACTCGCGGCCTCGCAATGATATTGGAATTGACAGGATGATCGGCCCCGTATCCATTCTGATCCATTAGGATAGTTAACGTGCACAGAACAACAGGAGTATCATCGTCTATGAGTTCTAGGAATTGCCAGGGCTCTCGTTGTAGAAACCTATTCCCATTCTCGTTGTACAATATCGAAATGCGAGTCGAGATGATAAAATATCTCGGTAACTTTTTGCAAAATTACGAAATTTGCATGAATAGAATCGACGACGAAAAGAATAAGAAAACAAAATATTTTTAAAGCTTCCACAACTATCTTAAGCCCGTGTCGCGCTACGCGTTGGAGATTGCGAATTGAAAATTCGAATTCAATATAAATCAGAACGAAATAAATGAAAATTAAAATTATTTGATTGTTCAGCAAATTATTTTACTGACCCTCTAAAAATTCCCCGAGTTTTGTTTAAAAATTTAATTAGGTACAGATCTAAAAATAATTTTGTTGAATCATCAAAATAATTATGTAGAACGATTAAACGTTGATGACAATACTATAAGTTTTAACATTCCAGCAATTTAAACGTCCTACATAATTATATTTTTAATTAGCAAGTTAAATTTTTAAATATTTTAGCAAAACCGTTCTTTCCATGTGGAAGTTCTTCTCCTTTAAACAATGATGCTTACAATCAAGCGACCTCACACGATCGCGATGATCGTGTTAGATGCGTCGTTGTGCACGATTTATCAGAATCGATGATGACGGTGCGGCGATCTCGCTGTGCAAGAGCATCCGAGTTTGCGTTTTCCGCTTCCTGGTATTACGCGGCTGCGAGGAAAGTCCGGGGCGAGGAAAACGCACGACAATGTAAAACGGTGGCGGCGATAATCGCGATGCTAGAATCGGCGTGGCGGTCAGGATGCAGCTCGCCTCCCGTCTCGCTTTTCTCGCCGTCGCCGCTGTCGGATACGTTCACCCTTTCGCTCTCCCGCTCTCACACCACTCTTCTCCGCTCACCTCCTCTCGTTCGTCGCGCCGGCCGGCGTCTCTTTCCACTCTCGACCGAGCAACAACCTGCGATTAGGCGTGCAACGCCCTTCTGCTCTCTCGCTTTCTCGAGGCTCCGCGAAAGACCGACGGAAACCGCGACGAGCCGACCTTAAAATCGCATACTGTACATTGCGATTTTCAGTATACGCCGATTTTCAAATCGGTGTCGGAGACAACTTCGAACTCGAAGTCTTAGAAGTGAGTCACCAGAAAAGGAACACGTGAATGTGTCTGCCTTCGACTTTAGAAATGCAGGAAGATATATGACACAATTTTAATATATCTGATCTTTTCTAAAATATTCAGTTAAATTAAGATTAGGAGGCGTTCTGCCTCTATCATTCTGTATATCTTTCTTGTTTTTTTTTCTGATATTTGTATGTTTCTAATTTTGCAGGTGATGCAGCAGCAGCAGCAGCATATGGCAGGTGGAATGGGAAGCGTAAGGCCGCCACCCCCAGAATACAAGGCTGCAGCCCAGGCACAGATGATGCATGCTAGTATCGGTATGGGTCAGCAAGCGAGGTTTGCAAATACTGGGCCCATGCGCAGAGTTACGCAACAACCTATGCCACCGTCGGGTAAGCTCGAAAAAATTTAACCGGCCCGTTACAGTTTGTTCATTTTTACCTTATAGTTTAATGTTTAAATTTTAATATATCGCCTTTTTACTTCAGAAGTGACACAACTAAAAAACGTGATTTTCAAGTTACTATCAATGAGTTAGATAAACATTACCCTATCAATCATCAGACTAACTTATCTTCATAAAAAATAATCGAAATTGTCACAACTCAAAAAAGGTAATCTTTTAAGGATTGTGAAATGGAACTGACATTTGATTAGTCATTAATTTTCTGGCAAGTTGAAAAATAGTTTTTTCTCTTTTTTTTGGGAAATTTAATTTTTTTAGTTATCTCTCCCTTTTGAAATAAGAGAGCAATAATAAAACAGATAGTTTCGCGAAAAAATACTATTAATACAATAACATCACCAAAATCCATTGTGTGATAGTAAATAGATATTTCATGCGCTCGATACTTCATGTTCACCGTTGTTCAACATCTTGGCGCGAGTAACACGTTTGAATATCAGCGTGGAAAGAATTTGACCAAGCGTAAACGCGATGCTAACGTTCCCCTGGATTCGCTCCAAGAGGAAGAGAGGCAGAGGTAGCAAAAGGTGACGTAGAGAGGGAGTCGAAACTATCCTTATATATCCTGGCCTCTATAAGACTCCTATCGATCGAGTCGACGCCGGTTTTCCCGAGATTCTATCCAAACGGAAGGAAATCTGCAGATTTTCGCCGAGCACTGCTCTCTCTTAAAATTTCGCGTTCTTGAATTTGACGATCCGTACCGTGACGTCATCGCGATTTACAATTTCGGTTGAATTTAATGCGTTCGTACCGTCACAAAATTCTTTGTTTACACGCTTTCGAGTTTAAGTAAGCAGCAGCAGTAGTAGCAACGTTAGACGACGTCTTGCATTACGGCACGTGTGGATGTTTTTTCGCAGGTCCGATGATGAGGCCGCAAATGGCGCAACAACAGCAGCAGCAGGCGTTACACGCGGCCGGCGGTAATATGTACATGGGCGGCGGCGGGATGGCTGCCATCGGCAATATGCATCAGATGCATCAACGGCTAGGCTACCCGAGAACCAACAATCAACGGCCGCCCAACGTCAGCGTTGGACCTCCGGACGGCCTTGGAAACAGCATCGCGGGTCGCGGGGCCCAGCAGGACCAATGGCGACACGCAGTTTTGATGCAACAACAGCAGGGCTTTCAGGCACAAATGCGCTCGCAATTCAACCAGCAAAGTCACCAAGGTGTGAGAGAGTGAGAGAAAGAGAAAGAAGGAGAAACAGATATGATGCGCTTCCAGCAAGAAGCACAGTTTAACACAGTGATCATTTCATCTTTGTTTAATTGGCAAACAACAAGGATGTAATGATTCATTATGTTATACTGTATCATCTGTCTCTTGCTGAAAAGCATCCGGACACTATTGTGTTCATCGAAAGAATCATGAGTCAGTTGTTGATATCAGAATTTCACGTTAATTCGGAGTTCGCTCTCTCGAACGATGTCCTCGTTTTCCGATGTCGTCGGAGATCAGGAATGTGCGTGTCGCTGCGTTTTATTTGGATATAAATGCAAATCATATTCATAGAGAATTAAGCACGTCTCGCGAATTTTATTCATTATTATTTGTGAAAATTATTTGAATTGACATTGCGGGATTTAATTAAATCACGTTTTTCGCAGGTGCTTTTGGCATGGGCGGCGCGGGCAACACAATGCAAATGACTGCGGCGCAGATGCAACATCAACAGTTAATTCGTTCGCAAAACGGCGGCATAGCTGGCTCGGGGATGTCCAACAGCACGCAGATGCAACAGCTGTTGACGCAACAGCACCAACAACAAACGCTGGCTATGCAGCAGAATAATAATCAGATGTCGTTGCAGATGCAGATGTCACAGACAACGTCTGTAAATTCAGTCAACGTTACTGGGACCGGTGAGTAGTGATCCGCGAAAAATACACCGAAAATAAAGATGTTCTGATTATACGCTTGAGCGTAACTAATTATTAGCCATACAAATTAAACGAAATTTCCCATGGAATTATCTAAGTAGTCTATATATAAAAGCAGCTGTATTCAAAAATATAAAAAAATTTACATTGAAACTCCAAAAGAAGTTAAATTATTTCTACTGTTGTAGGAAGAAAAGTGCAAAAGAAGTTAAATCCCCAAATTTCTACTGTTACAAACGCAGTTACATTTATCAGTCATATTTAATAAAAATGACGAACGTTTTGTTCCAAAATCAGTTAAAATCCTTCCTCTAGCTGCAAAACTAGTCGAGTACATTCTATTTTAATAAATTATATTTCTCAGGCCACGTTATACAAGTTTTGTTAACTAAAACGATGCATTTTTCTTATGTTCAATTGCATCAATATTACTTTAACTTTAAGCGAGGCTTAAAATTCTCTTTTTCTCTCTTTTTTTAAAGCCAAGAGAAACAGAAAAGAAGAGAGTTTTAAATCTCGTTAAAGTGACGTTGGTGCAATCGGGCCTTAATTAAAAAATTCTTGATAGTGTGTTAAATGAGAAAAATTATTCAATATATATAAGTTTTTTCGCTCTCGCAAAAAATTACAAATGGAGATAATGATTTTTATCAATGGGACTTACCTACTCTACGTTTTGTGCCACGAATATTTGTAGCAACGTTTAACACATTTAATTAGACTTGATGAATTGTATGTTTAGGTTCTCCTCTGCATCCGCATCAACAGTATGGTGCAGGTAGCCCTGGAGTACGTAGTCTACCGCCACCGCAGCAGCACGCTCAGCCGCCACCACCGGCCACCGCTACGGATCCGTCCGTGACGGCCCCTGACTTTACCCTCGAATTCTTGGAGAACCTTCCTACGGGAGACACGTCAAACTTTAGCGCCCAAGAGCTGCTTAATTCTCTCGACTCTACGGCCGGTTTTAATCTCGATATTCTGTAATGGAACCGTACCTACAGTATGGTCGGTTTAGATGTCGGTGCCTGGCGATATGCCGATTTTACTACGATGTCAAGCGAGTAAGATCGACCCCTTAAAGTGTATACTTAGCGCAACGGTACCGACGAATTTCACTTCGTCCGCGTATTGATCTGCTTTCTTCCCATCGTGTTTTCCCTTATTGTATCAAACGAATCGATTTTCTCAGTGCATTTTTGGAAGAGACCATCGACCCGGATGTCCCTTTTCGAATCTTCGATTTTTAATTACAAAAAAGCATTGTCTATAAACGAAACGTTTGATTCAAGTGAATTTTATTAGAGTTCTAAAAGGTATTGATGGAAATAATAATATTATGATAGAGGACCGACTCTTTTTTGAGCTCGATGTTGAGAAAACGGATGCAGATTGATGATACTTTGTTATATTCAATGACTGACAATTGCGAATGACGACAGTTACCCACCGGTGCGACAAAGTCCCACAACCGGTCGTAGTGCATTCTCGGTCACCGCTTCCGCGGCCGCCGACTATTCTTTTAGGCAATCATATTTTAGTAAAATTTAATTTTGTAATAACCGCCGAAGGGCAAGGAAGTTTAGCCCTGGAGATGTGGTAGCGTGGGATATCAAGAGGTACGTGGAAATCGTTCTATCGTTTTCTCGTCGGGCAACGATACCCATTTTTGAGAAAAGACGATACAAAGCCAGGAGATCGCGGTTCCTATTTTCTTTTCAAGTTCGCCCACGCTTGGCTATATCGAGAACGATCGATAAATTTCCGAGTGCTCACGTCGACGACTTCGACAACTGCGATGACTTCGACGAGCATTCCGCAAGACGATTCTCCTCTCTCTTGATTTTTCACGTTGAAAATTTGCGCAAGTAGATAGAGATATTGATATTGATAAAGAGGCCACGATTATAGAGTTTACTCGATTGAATCTATTCGGTCGAAAAAATTGGTTACCTTGCGCCGACTCGTCGTTGCAAAACGTCCAAGATTTCTGGACAGGCGAGCCTGGCCGGGCGTTAATACTTTATAAGAGTAATAATGTAACAATGTAACGATTATATTATATCATTATATCACAATAGCGTAATAATATATCGTTATATTATTACATTATTATAAAAATAATAATGTAGTAACGTAACGATTAGAGAGTAGCGTATTTAATTATGTCATTAACGGCATATTTACAATTAACAGCAAGTCAATTATCAAACATCCAATTTTATGAGTTTGTGACGCGCGACGCAAAATCGCGCACTAATCTGATCGGTCCGTACATCGGAAATTTTTACAGTAAGAAGGATTGAAAAAAACTTCTTCCTAAACATTGTTAGCGCTAATACAGGATAAAATGGTCCTTCATTGTAAATAGATATTAAAAACTAGAAGAAATTCGAAGCGTTAAGATCGCACAGTTTAGCCGATTATATAAGAGTAAGGAATTTAAAATATATAGATAAATATTATAATGAGATAATAGTGATTAATGATGTCGGTAATATGCAGGTGGAAATGCGTGCATGAAAGAAATTATGCGCGACTGAGAGGGAGCGTGTAGTAAAAGACGTGAAAATGAATGTATCAGCGACAGGGCACATTTGTTAATTGGTAAATATATTTATTAAGTTTTAATACCGAATGTGCTGTGTCGCGCTGTGTCGAGGCTGCACACAAATAATCACGGTGAGATAGATTCCATTTTCGACGCGGCGAACTACTTGTATTTTCTAAAGGGGCAATCGTTTCTCGAGAATTTGCGCGGAGTGTATCGTCGAAATATTCACCGTTCTTTTCTTTTTCTTATTTTGTCAAACGGTAACATCTTGAGCTTTATTTTGAAGATTTTTAAGAACCTAAAAATAACGAACAAAAAATCCTAAAGTTTGCGCTTTGTGTCATTCGTATATGTGAAATTGTTAATGTATAATAGGTCACTATGTAGTTCGATGCTACGAGAGAGAGAGAGAGAGAGAGAGAGAGAGAGAGAGAGAGAAGGAGAGAAAAGGAATCTGCGATTATTCTTCCAAATAGCGATACATTCCATAGATAACAAAAAAGGAATAGCGATCTGTGGTTCGTCTAATCAAAAGTACTGTTTAAAAAAAAAACAAATACACGACAGAAAGAAATATTAATGTTATAATATAAGAGTAAAACAGATATATTGAATCCCGCGCTTACATATACATACGCAGAAAGCACATCCTCGACCGTTCGCCGAAAGTGTGCACGAAGACTTCCGATCGGATTTTATTATCGCTTGTCGCGACTGCGCTAGAAACTAGCAAGTCCCGCGCCAAGTGGATTAGAAGATAATAATAATAATCATTTTTTAAATTTCAATCGGGTGGGGTAACACTATCTTGTAAAATATTGGGGCCATAAAACATAATCTAAAAAAAGATAGGAAAGGAAGAGAAGAAGAAGATTAGAGGCTGATTCTCACGTCAATACCTTTGTAAAATCTTTGAGAAAATCTCGACAAAAATCAATTACATTGATTTGTCCATTTTGTATGTTTCACGCGAGTGAGAGGAGAAGGGGAGAGGGAAGAGAGAACTGCGAGGAGGCGAAACTGCGCATTGTTATAGGGAAGAGCATCAGGGACCAACCGAGAGATAGAGATAGAGAGAGAGAGAGTGAGAGAGAGAGAGAGAGAGAGAGAGAGCGCAAAAGTGCGTGATGTCGATTGTCACAGTGGATCGTTGTCTCTTTTTTTTCTGAACAATTGCAAAGAAGGAATTAGTGCCTAATAAAAAAAAATTTGAGTCATTTGTTACCGACTTGTTAGAAAACTAGCTACACAATGTCAGCATTATACGCTCGAGTTTTTTGCATAAAAGGGAACCACGTGCACTTACGCGCAAACAGACAGGTATATCGCGACGCTTGCATCAAAGAAACGTTAACTTTTCGTACTGTCGACAGTTGATCGTGAAAAAGCATAATCGAGACGAAGGTTGCAACGTGTTAAATTTCTTGAGGATGGCCTTGATTAGAGACGCATATATACATATATATCGTATTATTTATAAATATTTATGAAAGAAACATTATTATATAATACGGGCATTTCGTATATAGAATAAATTTCATGTTGAATTGTTATTAATAAAAGCGTTGAGTTCCTACAAGATATATTATCTCTTCACTTAAAACTTTCGAACTTTTCCAAAATCTCCGTCTCGTTGGTATAATGCGTTGCTGACGCGTTATCGGAAATTCGTCATCAGCCGTACGAGATAAATTCGATCCGTTTCGCCACGCGGAAAATCCCAGGGACGATAAACTATCGGCGGCTTATCGCGTGTCGTATCGATCCGTCCGAAAATTAATGTGCGTTATCTGGCACGTTATCCTGCCGCCAATAACGCGAGCGCTTCGCGATCGGCGTGCAATGCGAGACTTTCCGCGCACCCCGCATTATTTATCTCTTTCCCGACATATCGCGTTACTGTCCCTCCGCAAGAATCTCCGATTTGCCTGGAATCGGGATTATCGTTTGCCAGCCACATATGTCTCTCTTTAAAAAAAAAGCTATTGTAAATTAGGGTAACTTTGGCCTGAAATCAAAGTAACTCCGATCCAAATTTCGATAATGCCCAAACAGCACACATCAAAATCGGGAAATAAGACATCTTAAAGATAACCTGATGTCTTGTAATCCGATTTTGGACATGCGTGCTATCTAGGTATTTTTTTTAAATTTAGGCCAAATTTATCCCGATTGAATCAGAGTTATTCAATATTACTTTATATTAAATTTTATTTCATTTTTTTATTTTCCAACGACATGAATTTTCCTCGGGCAAAACGGAGGTTTTGGTCTTCTCCGCGCGTCTTCATCCGCGTTACGGTTCTACACTAGGTCGAATGGCAACCTAACGTTGCTGCTCGTGGGTGGGCCTCGCGGCAGGAGGATCAATATCATCGTGAGGGAGAGAAAACGAGCAGACTGAGAATGGGAGCAAGGGGGTAGGAACCGCCGGCGCCGCCGCCGCCGCCGCGATGAAGGATAAGGATTACAAGGGCGGCGGCGACAGCGTCGGTAGAGAGGGATGTAACCAGGGGGTGGTACCGCGTACCCCGAAAATGTCAATTCGCCATTCCGGCTCCTCACGGAATTAGGATCGCGATAAGGATTGGTTCGCGCGTCGGCTCTATTTGATTTTATGCTCCTCAAATTGCGTTTTCGTCATCATCGTCTCTATTCCGAGACGAATTTCTTTGGCTGTGTCAGCGTAAAAAACGGCTTTGGAATTTTGTTGTGTACCGCGAAAAAAGATTTACTAAATTTTAATATTTTTTTATAATAGTATTAATTAAAATTTACTTAGTAAATAAATATTTATTTAATGAAAGAAGTGATAGTTAAGTCAAATTAATGATTCTTGTACCAAATATAAATATATTTACATTTAGTAAATATTTAGTTAGTACACAGAGAGAAAAATGTTTGGTATTT